CTGTGCAGATTAGAACTAACACGCTACAGAATAGAACTAACATTGTGCAGATTAGAACTAACACGCTACAGAGTTAGTTCTATTTTTATACTAAGTTAGTTCTATTTTATACTAAGTTAGTTTTATGTTATAACAAGTTAGTTCTATTTTATACTAAGTTAGTTTTATGTTATAACAAGTTAGTTCTATTTTATACTAAGTTAGTTCTATTTTGCAGTTTCCAATAGAACGTAATAGTTGTAACTGTTGTGCTTGTAGTTGCAAAAATGTATTTTTTTTAGAAATGGCTTGTAACCAAATTGATAATATATTTGTTCGACGCAGGATCCTGGCACGGCTCCAACGAAGAGAAGTTGGCCTTCCCTCGACGTTGGCACGGAGATTTATATTAGCGACGTGGATCAAGTGACTGAATGGACAGTCAGGAGTCAGCGATTTCGACATCTTAATCCCAAAGGTTAAACCTGGATATATTTAAACTACACCAAAAGAGAGATGAGATTCATTTCCAGAAGCTGAATTTTTTTTTATCTTTAAGGCCAATCAAGATAGGAACTAATCCTTCTGTAGCAAATATCAGGCTTCGGCATAATCAGCTCATTTATGCCTCTCCTTGGTCAAGAAATGTTATACTCCGGCGTACCATACTATAAGGTTCAAAAGTAGCAGGCACAGCGGCGAACTCCGGCGTAGTCGAGGGCGAGACGGGGAGCGACGGCGAGCTACCACGATGAGGTCGGGCGGAGGAGAGGAGGGGAGGCGGCGACGAACTCGGGGGAGGCTTGGAGCTAGAGAGAGAGAGAGAGAGCGAGAGAGAGAGAGAGAGAGAGAGAGAGAGAGAGAGAGAACTGGGTTTGAAGGATTGAGGAGAGGGGATAAGGTTATTTTGGGGATTTTAGCTTAGGTGGCATGTAATAATTGTTAAAAAGGGGCTGCAGCATAAAATGTCACACTTCAAGGGGCTGAACCACATGGGGGAAACTAGGAGGGGCTGCAGCACATGAAGTTTCTGTTTTTGGGGCCTGGACATATTTTCCCTTTTTATTTTACTTCTAAGAAAAATCCACGGTAAATTGTAGGTGGCATGACTCAAGAGGACGCGGTTGCCAATACTCAGGTCTTTGGTTTCATCCCCTTTAGCTAAGCCGAATGGTGACACTACCATAGATCCAGAATTTACCTGGTTGGGATCAGGGATTGAACTCGGGCCTCGGATCCTCGTTCCTTGCTAAGGTTTTCCTCGTGCTCCAAAAAAATTTATAAATAGCACCTGATCTGATAGCACTTAATCTATCGTTTAAGTAGATGATCTATCTGAAGAAAACACACCTGTAGATCGAGACCTCGCCTGAAAGAGGGGGCGTGAGCTCGCCTGAAGGAGAGCGTGGACCTCACCTGAATTCGAGGGCTTGGACAAGCGAGGGTGGACAGGCGAGGAAGCTCGCCTACACAAGAGCGATTTGAGGCGAGGGCGAGGAGGCTCGCCTACGGGTGGCTCGCCTACGGTCTAGAGGAGGAACTCGCCTAAAGATGAGTCGTGGTGGAAGCCAGTTGTGCGGGAGAGAGGCGAAGTGCTCTCCTGTCGTGGTAGACGGCGGCTGGAGGAGGAGCTCACCTGAAACCGCCCTAGGGTTTCCCTATAAAAGGGAAACCCTATACACGAGTGAGCTTGAGTGGAGCAAATCGAAATCTCTGGCGGCGGTCCCTCTCTCCTTCTGCGATTTGAGCTCCCAGTTGTCTCGTTCCCAGGAATTCAAAGGAGTGGGTTTGGGAAATTAAAGAGAGGAGTTGAGTAATTAAGAGAGAGCGATTTGAGAAGATATTGAGCAGTGTTTTAAGTTTAAAACACTGTTGTTGTTTAAGAGATCTTAAGTTTGAGATCTTCTCTTTGCAAATTTATAATTTTTTGTGATTAAATAAGAAATTATTTGTGTTACTCCCGTGGACGTAGGCAAATTTGCTGAACCATGTGAATTTGTTGTCTTGCATTTGTACTTGTTTTTGTTATTGTTTGTTCTCTAATCTCATTTACGGTTGTGTGTTCCTCCGGTTCCGCTGCGCACAACACTATCACTCTGCAAATAACAATCCACGTATCGAACTGCTAATAAACGAGCGGAAGGGTAATAGATGTTGAGGGTGTAGGTAAGAGGGGTTGTCTATAACTTATCTCAAAAATCTATTTAACTTTATCTACTTGTACATATACGTCCATAATACATACTTGAACTTGAGAGGAAAAAAAACTTGTATTGATCTTTTCATTCTCAGTAGAAATTGTTAATTTTGAAAAGAAATGTTGGCTGCTTCTCCATAGAAATTGTTACATTTGAAAAGATAATGCTAGATTCAGTTTGTTTCAGGTTTTATGTGTGTCCGGATGAAATTACGATGAATTCACATGTCGTTGCCATTTTATTGTGTTAAGGATACCCTTTCGTTTCTCTAAGAGCATTTCCAATGCTCCCCAAAGAATATACCTCTCTATATTCTCCTTTAGAGGAGGGACACTCCAACCACTCCCCTCTATATAAAACTTTATTTGTAAAATATATATTATTAAATGATTATTTCTATAATACTTTAAATGATTTTGAAAATATAAAATGATAAAAAATTTATATGAATTAATTTAAATATAAAATATATTATAAATTAATACTAAATTTATAATATATAATATAATCATATATTTAAATAAAATTAGTTATCTTTAATGAATTGATAATAAGAAATATATAAGAGCCTTTAAATTTTAAAAACCAGAAAATATAGCATAATATTTGGAACAATCTTTTAAAAACTAGAAAAATCTTCATAAATACTCTAAAGTCCAGAAAATATAGCATAATATTTGGAACAATCTTCCTAACTACTCCGAAGTCCAATTCTCACTCCATAATGAGTTACGGTTTTGCCAAAAGTAATGAAATTTTATATATTAAATTCAGCGGCATTACATAGAAAAATAAAGTACATGAAAAAAATTAAAAAACGGGCAAGTCATTTCCTCCATATCCACTGCTTTTGTAGTTAGGTATTCTATATTGACTTCATGCATAACTATATTCAAGATTAGGAATATCAGATGAAGAACCTCCAGTTGTGTTTCTATTTAAAATCTTTTTTTTTAATTTGAAAATATTCGTGTTCCGAAGGATTAGTAATAGTATCAAGATTAACTAACATAATTTTACTTTCTTGTCATTCTCTTCGAAGATCTAATTTTTTCTTATCGTTTTTGACCCTTAACATCATAATCTGGTGCATTGTCAGTCTATCATTTTCTTGTTGCCCATGACTTTTTTTTAAATATCAACAATTTCTTGATTGCTTTTATTGAGAGTTTCAAAGTCGATGTTCTTTTCAATTGCTTGGCTCCTCCTCATCTTCTCTTTCTTCCTTCCTGTCGACCGACTTGTTGACATATCGTTGTCATTATGAGTATATCCCTCATTATCGTCATTTAAGTCGATGGCAGGAGAACTTGAATATCTTTGAAGTTTTGGAAGTTGCAGGCGATCTAACACTTATATTTGCCCATTTTTTATGTATCTTTTAAAATTGACCAAACATGATCAAATAAAAACCCATTTCTCTCTTCTGGATCTTCTGCAAATATTATCCTAGCACGTTTAATCTACCACAAGAGAGGAAGAAATAAGTATTAATAACATGATAATAGATGATAATCAAGATTTTTGTTATTCAAATACTTACTATGTCAAGCTCAGAAGCACCGCTTGGATTTAGGCACTCGACTTGTCGAAAGCATCCTCGAAATTTACGGATGACCTTCATAATTAATTATATTCAGCATGAGAGAGACTTTGGACTCCTTTGAGTAGTACAAATATTGGAAATTCTTTCATGAAATAAAGCAGAAATTCGTTCCCACAGCTTGTCCTTCTTTTGATTAGAACCCATGACTGGATCTTGAGAGATTTCGAGCCACGTAGCGCATAAATTTTGGTCTTCTTCTTGTTAAAAAGATTTTCCATGACTGGATGCCATAATCTAAAAGGAGATAAAGTTGTTTAGGATGATACTATTGTGATGGAGGGATGCAAAGAGTTATGAATATAGAATAACAAGAGTTGTGGTGAATATATGAAAATTGTGCAAGTGTTATATAGGGATCAGATGTGGGGAGTCTCCAACACGAAAGGAATCCAATGGCTCAGTCTCCAACACCAGGAGAATCCAATGTGGGGAGTTTCCAACACCATGAGAATTCAATGTGGGGAGTCTCCAATGCTGAAAAGAATCCAATGGCTCAGTCTCCAACACCATGAGAATCCAATGTGAGGAGTCTCCAACATCAGGAGAATCCAATGTGAAGAGTCTCCAATGCTGAAAAGAATCATATAGGGGCAGAAATATTATATAATGATATTATTACATCTATCTCTAAACAACTCACAACTTATATTTTTATTTTTATAAACAAATTCTTCAACAATGAACTATGGAGCCGAACCTTCTTCTTCTCAGTCTCCAACACCAGGAGAATCCAATGTGGGGAGTTTTCAACACCAGGAGAATCCAATGTGTGGAGTCTCCAATGCTGAAAAGAATCCAATGGCCCAATCTCCAACACCAGGAGAATCCAACACCAGGAGAATCCAGTGTGGGGAGCTTTCAACACCAGGAGAATCCAATGTGGGGAGTATCCAATGCTGAAAAGAATCCAATGGTTCAATCTCCAATACCAGGAGAAACCAATATGGGGAGTCTCCAACATCGAAAGAATCCAATGTGGAGAGTCTCCAATGCTGAAAAGAATCCTATGCGGGGAGAAATATTATATAATGATATTATTACATCCATCTCTAAACAACTCACAACTTATATTTTTATTTCTATAAACATATTCTTCAACAATGAACTATGGAGCCAGACCTTCTTCTTCTTCTTCTGACGACGACGAAACATTTTCTCAGTACATTAAAGATTGGGAGGAAACATTTTCTCAGTACATTAAAGATTAGAAGGAAGATATGACACAATGGGAGAAGGAAGATGAAATCTTAGCTCGTGTATATGCCTCTAATAGTGAAATAATGACTTATCTCTCTCAAGAGGCAGAGCAGCCAAAGCGTATTGACTCAGTTCCTGGTCATTTGATGATCAATCGCGGGAGGGAAGAAGGTAATTCTCGACTCTACAATGATTATTTTTCTGATAATCCTACATATGGTGCAAATCTATTTCGTAGAAGGTTCCGGATGCAAAGGAGTTTATTCCTTCGTATAGTCAAGGCGGTACGTGAGCATGACAACTTCTTTGTACAAAAGATGGATGGTGTCGGCAATTTTGGGCTATCAACTTTACAAAAAGTAACAACGGCATTTCACATGATGGCGTATGGAACATTAGCAGATAGTACTGATGAATATATTAGGATCGGTGAGCCAACTGCAATTGTATGTTTAAAGAGATTTAGTAGAGCAATTGTAGAAGTATATGGAGATGAATATCTGAGGACCCCCAATGTCGACGATGTTGCAAGGTTATTGCAAAAGGGTGAAGAAAGAGTTTTCCAGGAAAGGCAAGACAATACTTAGGACGTCATGGAGATCCAACCATTATTCTTGAGGCGGTAGCATCATATGATCTATGGATATGACACGCATACTTTGGCTTACTAGGATCCAATGATGATATTAATGTATTGCAGTCGTCTAATTTGTTCGACAATCTATCACAATGTATTACTCCTCCTTCTCATTAAACAATTCAAGGAAAAAATTATGATGTCGGTTATTATTTGGCCAATGACATATATCCGAAATGACCAACACTTGTTCAAACCATTTCCAATTCTGATGATAAAAAGAAATAATATTTTGCAATGATGCAAGAAGCATGTCGAAAAGATGTAGAGCGGGCATTCGGTGTTCTCCAATCACGATTTGCTATCATCAAGGGGCCAGCCCGTTTTTGGGATAAATAAACTCTGCACGATATCATGACCGCTTGTATTATAATGCATAATATGATTTGTCGAAGATGAAAGCGATGAGCAAGAAGATGTTGTCATTTCAACTCCACAACCAATTCCGAATGCTAAAAATATAGAGATAACCGAAACTGAACGATTCCAACGGTTCCTTGCTCGACATAAGAGGTTGAAAAACAAAGAAGCTCATTTTGCACTTCGATGTAACTTTTTTAATTAAAGTTTCGATGTATTTCAATATTAGTATTTTTATCTTCCATCTAATTTTCTAATACATTTTCATTTTTAATTACTTGGTTCTTGGAATTTTATATTTTAATTAATATTATTCAATATTAGTCTCATTTTGAAGATATCGACAAGACATTTCCAACTGTAATATTTTTATTTAAAAATAATTAGTAGAAATAAACTTATGTTGATTTTAAATTACTAGTTACTAATTAAAAAGGATATGGAAGTAATAAGTAATTGTTTATAAATGTGTAAAAGGGCAAAGTGAGTATTTAGAAAAAAATTACAACCACCTGCAAATTTAGGAAAGAGGCTGCATATTTGCAGCATCATTCCTTCCGGCTGCAAAATGCAGCCGAAGATGCAGGATGATTGGAGCGCTTCGGGGCTGCAAAATCCAGTTTTGCAACCCCATTGGAGCTGCTCTAATAAATGGCTTCCTACTCTTCAATTTGGCGACTCCTCTTCTAAACTAACTTTGGTCCAAACCAGTCAGGTTTTGGAGCGATTTGGCCAAACACTTGCCTAGGAAGGTTATACAGAGCATACGCGCAACCAAATTGAGCAATTTTCACAAGAATCCGACATGAGACATCTCAAGACAATCTTTTTGCATGTACGATTAGAAATGAAAAACAAAATTTCAAAGATTTCACTATATACGGCATACGGTACCGCAACTATTTTCTTCAACATCAGCCATCAGAACAACTTATAGGGGTCTAAAACATCAAGGAAATGTACACACTAGGTATTTTATTACAAAACTAGCAATAAAATTTCTCATTGCATTTCCCTTTCACAGACAGCAGCAAACTCCAATTATATAACTGTAGACATCATGACCGATCTTATGAGGATTAATTGTCTAAGACACCAAAAGATTTTATCTAAGTGTTGACATAGGGACAGAATGAATCAAAATGCAGAACCGCCGCCTTTGGTTTTCCCAAGCATGACGTCCTTGGCTTCGTTAATTTTCGAAGCAAGATAATGGCTTCCTCCTGCATCTGGGTGGTTGGCAACCATCACCTTCTTGTGTGCTTCTTTAACTTTGTCAGGAGGGGCGTTCTCCCTGTCCAGCAGAAAAAGAAAAGAACGCCAAATTGAAAACAACTCACAAAAAAAAAACAGCAACTACACAAAATTATGTCCAGTTGAGTTTGCTATGGCCAGAACCAAGATTGCATTTTTCAAAAAATAAGGACATACAGTATACAGAGATAAAATCTGACCTATATTCTAGGCACTCTGCTCTAATACTTGTTCAAGCACATTTGCACCAATAACATTGGGTAACCAGCAACCCAGTTTATCTGTAAATATTTCAAGCTTACTAGCTGAAGAACGCGCCAAGAAAAACAGCAAGTATTGGCTTAACTTCATCTGTAAATATTTCAAGCTTACTAGCTGAAGAACGCGCCAAGAAAAACAGCAAGTATTGGCTTAACTTCAAGTCAAGGATCCTAGATTTGCCAAGCTGAAGAACGCGCCAAGAAAAACAGCAAGTATTGGCTTAACTTCAAGTCAAGGATCCTAGATTTGCCATTTCTTTGAAAGCGCTGAAACATCCAAAATATAGAAGGGAAATTGCTAGGCCTCCAGTCAAGGAGCATTCAAATCCTTTCCTGTGGAAAGATTTAAACCTCAAGCATTGAGGTTCTATTTCTATAATACAGCTAGTCAATGTTTTACATGTTAACTAATGGAAAAAAAAACTAGTTTATGAATAGCCACTGAATATGATCCTGCAAGAAAAAATAACAGCAAATCATAAACACTAAATTGATTAGTTTACTTTTGTCATCAAATCTAGCCTGTTTGAAAAATACAGCCATCTTGTTAGTGCTCAAGGCACTCTATCCTGAATTGATCCCAGTCAATGTACCATGCAAAACATTTTGTTAAATAGACAAGATGGTTGTATTTTCAAGCAGCAAGTAATGACTTGACTTCAACTCGAGATTTGCCATATCTTTGAAAGCACTGAAATATCCAAAATAAAGAAGGGAAACTGCTAGGCCTCAATGAGTCCTTTCCTATGGAAAAATTAAACCTCAATGAGTTTGGGGAAACTGCTAGGCCTCAAGCGTTGAGGTTAGTGGCAGATTCATGATTTTGGGGAAGTGGTGTCACGACATAATCAATGATTAAAAAAGTACAACTGTCCTCGATGAGTTTCCAAATTTTGAAAAAAAGAACATAACCGTATTATTAGTAAAACTATCTAATACATATTTTTCAACATGTCACTAGGCAATCGTTGAGCCAATCACCATCACTTATTCCGCTACTTGCTCTTTATCAACTTTATTGTATTTTGGGATTCTGGGACCTGAGATTGAGTGGGTCTGGGGATTTTAATGTCTGTGTTTTTTTTTTCCGATATGAGTCCCCTAAATTTACCATATTTTAAAATTAGTCCCTTGAATCATAGACATTGCTATTAGGTCCCTCAATTCTTAAGTTATTTTGAACTAGTCCCTCAAATAATTGAAATTGCTATTAGGTCCCACAATTCTTAAGTTGCTTGGAAATTATTCCCTCCAATCAAGAGTAAAAGTAGCAATTAGAAGGAAATTAGTACCTCAAATCATCAAAATTTTAATTAGATTCGCCATTTCTCGTAATTTTTTTTTTCAAACTAATCATTTTAATTGATAATTGTTCTATTGATTTGAGGGACTAATCTCAAAATAACTTAGAAATTGGGGGACCTGATAGCAAGTTTAATGATATGAGGGACTAATTTCAAAGTAACTTAAGAATTCGAGAGACCTAATAGTAATAGCAATTTCAATGATTTGATAGGCTACTTTCAAAATATGAGAGATTTAAGGGACTAATATCGAAAAAAAAATTAATAAGTCCAGCTTGAAATTGGGATGCGAGAAAAATGATGGGGGTTATGCATATTGTAGGGGATTAGTAGCTTTGGTAAAGTGGGGTTACGTGACCCCACTTTGTCAAAGGTGGATCTGCTACTGACTGAGGTTCTATTTCTATAATATAACCAGTCAATGCTCTACATGTTATCTAATAAAAAAACTAGTTTATGAATAGCCACTGAATGGATGATCCTTGCAACAAAATCATAAGCACGAAGTTGATTACTTTGCTTTTGTCATCAACTCTAGCCTATTTGAAAAATACAACCATCTTGTTGGAACTCAAGGCACTCGATCCTGAATTGACGCAATGTTTTGCATATCTGATACTTATTTTGAGTCAATTGTGTAAAATGATTCTTTCTAGTCATGGATGGTTTCATTGTGCCATATAGATGAAAGGAACATACTATGTTAGATCCTATATTAGCCTCTTTTTCTGAACATTAGACTATGCTTGATGACTTGATGGGGAAGATCTACAGGGATCCCTGGTTGCATCGCCTTAAGTGCATATAACAAATGGTAAGTTGCTCTTTGAGAGATTTCTCAAAATTTAATACTTAGCAGCCGACACTTATTATTGGAAATTATTGAATTATGATTATTTTTTTGAATCTGATACCGATCCTAAGCACAATTGTATGCATAAAACTTTCTTGAATGCATATGCAATCCTCAACTTAGGCTAAAATTAGATAAATAGAAATAGACCCATGAAGGAAGGGAAGAAGCCATCTCCGAATATCCCTTCAGCGACCATGATAAATAGGATAAGATGAAATGGTGCAGGAAATAGAGGGGTGAAACACTTTGTTTGACAGACAAAGAGCACTTGCAAGAACAAAAGCTGGATGGAAGTCAGTGCTCTATGAAAGGGTTGTTAGGTCTCATGTTTATGAGCTTATATCTCTAATCTTGTTTTGAAGGTCTCATGTTTATGAGCCTATATCTCTAATCTTATTTTGATGATTTACAAACAATCTCTAACATCGTTTGTCTAGTGTTTATGTTTATTATTATATATTCTAGACAAACATCGATATCGGCAGTTGGTTGAAATTAATCTTAACGACGACATCCGTTGGAGGTTGGATGGAATTGTGCCTACACGATGATATTCAAAGGAGGTTGGCGGAATCCGGAATGAAGCCAATACATTCAAGTCAAATTCAAGTTCAAGCTTCATCCGCAACCAAGACGAGTATATCTAAGATCTCTTAACTTGGGTATATTGTTTCTAGTTTAGGTCTTATACCGTGTGTGTTATACTTTAAAGCTCAATTATCACACACATACACGTTTTCATTTTTATAGCTTTTAAGTTTATCAAATAAATATGAAACTAGTATATATACATATTTTCGGTTTATCATTTTCAAGTTTAACTGTATAAATATGAAAGTAATCGATATACTTATATACATATATTTCATTTCATATTTATCATTTTTATTTGGAAAATAATGTGTTTATGGATTAAAGACCTGTTTACACTATTTTATATCTTTTCTCAAGTCTATTAATCTATTAAAAAGTGTTTCAAAACTTGTTTGTATTGATTTCATCAAAATCAAGCTTTGACGATTTCGTATTGTTTAACAGTTTGCAAAATAAATGAGTTTTCACAAATGAAAAATCAAATTGAGAAATTCTTTTTCTAACATGTTATATTACATGTTTATAAACATTCCCAACATTTTATCATTTTTGGAGTTGATTTACTATGGTAAATTGATTTTACAAACTCAAGTGTTTCAGCAGTTTTTAGAATCTGAAATATCTATTTTAAAATAATTATTTTTCACAAATGGGAAGTGATATTTCAGAAATTCTTTCTCTAAAATGTTATCTACATGTCTAGATACTTTCCTCAAACTTTTACGATTTTTAGAGTTGATTTGATATTTTTAGTTGATTTTATAAAACCAGCTACGTAAAAATTTCAGGATCCGCCAATTCTATCGTGCATGTTTTTTGTTGATGAACAGTGTTTTGATCGACCGATAGAGTGCCACCAGTCGACCAACTAGTGTTCCATTGTATAACGGCTAGTTTTTTCTAGATTTTGATTTTTGGGGGTTTTGCCTTGTTTTTTATGCTTTCCTTTGGCTTGGGATGATATGTTGAGAGACTATATATAGCCCTCAACACTTAGATTTTGTTATGGAAGTTTAGAATAAGTTTTTCAAGTTTTTGAGAGTTTGTTTAAGAATTTTAAGTGTGTTTTAGTTTATGGAAAAAGAGGTTTACTAGAGGAGGAGATCATTTCGGTTTTGAGCTTCAACTTTCATATCTCGATCTCTCTTGTTTTCAGAGAAGTTTTTATAAACTTATTTTCTAGCTTATTTATATTTTTGATTCATATATATTTATGCTAGTTTGATTTAAGTTTAGCTTTCATTTTACTCTTTGATTGCACACACAACCTATTGAATTGAGCTTAAGTATTTCATACATAGTATATTGCGGTTGTGAGTTTGTAACATTGAGTGTGAGCTTATATTGAGTTCTCATATATTGTAGAGAACAAATATTTTTCTTGTGCTTAATTGTAAGATCACTTTGTAATATATTTGTACACCGAGAGAAGTCTGTGGTGAGAGACGCTATCGATTCCAAGAGGAGTGAGCTCGGTGGTAAAGCCTAGAGAGGTGGTAATTTCGAGCACTTGAGAAAGGCGACACGGGCTAGAGGATGTAGAGTGTGATTGCAAGAGTGTGAGTTGTGAAAGTTTTCGGTGAGCTAGAAAATCGAGATTGTGAGGTGTAAACGTTTTCGGTTAGCATTGAAAACCGGTTGAGATGGTGGAGTTCTCCTCGAGAGTGGGGAGCGGAGACGTAGGTTGGAAGGACCGAACTATGTGATCATTTTCTTGTGTTTGCATTGGTTATTTGCCCACTATATTGTTTATATTGTTTCATGTCTATTTCACTCTTGTGTTATTTACATATCTTTGCACATATAAGTTGTTGAATATCATACTTGCTAGGATATTTGTTAATAAGTTTTTAATTGGCATTAAATCGGATTAGATTAGCACATTACCATATTCACCCCCCTCTAGGGTAATTTCAAGGGTATCTAATAATCATGTATGTGGTTCTACTATAACAGGCTTAAGAAATTGATCAACACAACAAGCAATAACTTCAGTGCTAAAATGGGGAAAAAAGGAACATGAACTATACTGGTCAAGCTAAAAGTTAGCAATCCAAGTCATCTTATACACACCTCAACTAAGTATTTACCTCTAAGACGAATATCCGCTAGGGTACCATTTGGGAGAAGGAAGTCAAGAGATCCCCGAAGAAACAGGCTAAATTTGGAGCCAGATGAGAGATAATAAGTGTTTGCCGGAGGATAATCCCTCGTTAACTATTAACTTCTCCATTAGTGATGCCCACCTCGCTTGGAAGTATTCGGGTGAATTACCTTAAATGGATGGGATGTTCCCTTATATATCTCTGGTCCTAAAAGCAGTGTTCCTCCTTGTCCCACTAATAAGGAAATATCATTTTCCACAAGCATTAGCACAAAGCATCGACATAAGAAAATAAATTAGGAATTTTTTTCTTGAAAATATTGCAGAATCTTGATAACAATAAAAATCTCATCCTAGAGCTTAAGTGGGTTGATAGCAGGAAGCAAGATAATCCTACATCCCTTACTCTCCCTCACTCTAATCCGTCTGGATAATTAGTCGACTTAGCACTAGGCCTAGTTTGTGACATTTGACTGAAGCAAGCCATACACAAATCTTCTTTAATCACACTATACCAAAGACGAATCTTACTTAAGAACCTTGAGAAAACCTTCAGCTACGGCTCCCTGCCATACATGGCGCATTAAAAGCTTTCATGGACATGTTTTTCGATTGATGTTGGCTAATTTCAACACAATTTGGATGTATGAAACATGGAGAAATTGGAAAAGGTGAGGAAACAACACTGCAGCGTATACAAGTAACACAATTAACTCTAAAAACCAGCAGTATAGCATATATTATTCCTTAGGAAATTTCAAAACATCCACAGACGAAATGCGCAGACTGATCACACCAGCAGCACACACATAAATATACTATTCCAAATATTGGGAATTTTGCAGCATTTAAATATACATGGTATCTTGTGTCAATATAATAGAAGGCATTCTCACCTCACGCCGAGAATGAGAGCAGCTTCTCGCCTCGTCATGGTCTGCTGAAACCCACCTTCATAAAATCTTCGCATCCGAGGAACGACAGGCCGTGCTTTGTATGCTTGCCATGCCTGGATACTGTATCTACCAGCAAGAGCAGCTGCTGCCACTGCAAGTCCTGCTAGAAATGGTGTCGCCTGAAAATAAAATTTTAATTTAATATTCATCCCAAATTAAGTAAAAAAAATCATAAACTAAGATGAATCCTTGAACTAAACAATGTTGTAAATTTTATTTCACTAGAATTATTTGCCTTGTAATAAAAAATAAATTTACGGTTCTTATTATAAAAAATAAAAAATTTCACTTCTTTGTGGGTCGTAGTTTCTAGATTGAAAACCCTAAAAGGATGACTTTTTCGGCAGAAAGCTCAACCAGAACATAATAAATCACCAAAATAGATAAAATAGAGAGAATTTAAGCGATTAATAACAGAATTGGATCCAAAGATCGAATTTTTCAGCAGCTACTCGCGAATTCTTGAGGAACTCACCATCTATGTGGATGTGATGAAGACGGGCATTAGTGGTATCGTATTATTCGGGAGCCGTTATTATAAAAAACGGCGAATTAAATATTTATTTGCGGCTGATTTTTTCCAGCGCCGGCGGCGGCGGATCTCGTCTCTGCTTTTGTTCGCTCCGGCTGCCTCTTTGCCCTTTAGTTTTTTTTTTTAAATGTTTTTTTTGGCTTCACCCTCCTCAGACTGCGCCCTGTTTTTTGCATTCCAGCCCTTGAGTTCTTCTCGAATTGGGAGTTCGAGGCGGACTGGGTTGTTTCATATTGGATTTTTTTTAAAGTCCGTTTTTAATCTTTATTAGGAAAATTGATCTTTTATGGATTTAATTAGCAAAATCAGTCCGTTTTTAATCTTTACTAGCAATTGAGGAATATTTTTATTAATGTTGATAACTTTTTATGCAGTACTTGTGTAGAAGTGGGGAATGGAAATAAAACTATTTATTGGCTTGATAAATGGACGTGCAAATACACTGGCTTCTATGTTTCATTCTCTTTATAACTTTGCATCATCCCCTTTTGCTACTATTGCCAGTTTGAGGAAAAAATTAAATAATGAATGGATTTGGGATATTAAACTTCAAAAACAGTTGACAGAAAATCTGGTATTTCAATATTTTGATATGTTGAACAATATTATGCTTTTTAATTTTGTTCACAGGGAGGATAAGAGAAAGTGGATTTGGGAAGCAAAAGACAAGTTTACTGTTAAATCATATTACCATTTTCTTATTGATGGAGGCTTAAGATATGAGTGCTTAAATCTTTGGGATGTGAGGTGGATTTCAAAAATGTTAGACAAATTAAGGATTTCAAATTTCAAAAAGTTTGGAACGAACAAAAATATTACAAATTATAGTATTCTAAATCCTAAAATATTGTTGAAACAAATAAAGTTTTAGGAATCCCAACCCATAATAAATTAACTATGAATTTCAAATGCCATGGTGAAATTCATATATTAAAATTATAGGATTTGAAACAAACACCCCTTAAAGAAATTGCGAGTGGACGCATCCTAACCATAAATTTGAAAATCTATGGTTGTTATCACTTCACTAGAACGCCATTTAAATAAAGCTAACGCCTCCTAATCGCGATCTAATCCATTAGTTAATGCCAAAAAAATTCGCACCCAATAAATAAAAGAGTGCTGCTACGGGGACCCAAAATATGAGATTAATGGAGGGGACATGTGAGGGGTCCCCTCCCTATTAGGGGCTGTTTGGTTGTTGTTGGTAAAATTGTGTATTTATGACACAACTTGGAAAGTTGTTGTCCACCTTATTAATTTCACTTGTATACTTTTCTTTGTTTGTTTTTTATTCCATTGGAATCATAAATTGCTTGTTTGGTTTGCAAATGTAACATTAATAATTGTTTGTTTGGAAAGTGTAAAAAATGGTCCCTACTCAAATTATCATATTGGTTGAAATTATTTTTTATTATTTTTTTCTAACATCAATGTCAGCTTTCTCCTAAAATCATGTCTTTTTTTTATGAATTCACTTTACAAGCCACATCAGCATATGAAATCACTTTATACTATTTTCACAACTACAAACAAACAATTGACCACATCAGCATATGAAATCACTTTATACTATTTTCACAACTACAAACAAACAATTGAAAGTGATGAAAGCTGACATCACAACTACAAACAAACAATTGAAAGTGATGAAAGCTGACATTGGGACCCATTTTTTTATATTTTCCATTATTTTACACGGTAAAAACATACAACAAAACAACCCTTTACATAATGAGTTAGCATGAATTGACATGACCAACTCATTATGCAATAGAGAGTGGGACATCTCACATGTCCCATCTAGATCCCATATTTTGGTTCCTTAAATCACGCCTCTCCCCTAAAGTGGGCCCACCCTAGAACCGAAAGCGGAGGGAGAAACCCTAGAATTTTTCGCGAAACCCCTCTCGCTACATTCTCGAGGCCGAAATTCTGCTGTGAGCTATCCTCTACACAGCGTCGGCAATTTCTCAAAGGTGAGATTTTTCTCCTTTTTTTTGCCCCTTTTGTCTTTAGTCAGGGTTTCTTGTATCCTTGATTGTATTGTTGATGATCGATTCAATTAGTAATTGGTTGATTCACGTAGAACTCCCTGAAATGTTTCTATTAATGTTTCTGTTATTGTTTAGTAGTAGATTAGCGTTAGATCGATCTCATTTCTTTAGAATTTGAGTCGTCAGGGTAGGGTTACTGGCTGTTTTGTGCGTTTAAATGTATTAATAGTTCTAACTGCCGTCAGATCTAAGTTTAGTATTGACTGTTCAAGGATTAAACTCATGAACAGTTCGATCAGCGATTTTGACGACAGTAGCGCTACTGATTTCATTACTTGATTCTTTATCTTGATTATTTCAGTTTATAATAGATTGAAGCGTATGGCACACAAATTGAAGCAGTTAAGCCCCATCCTTCCTCTTTCTTTTTCTCTCTGAAAGATACTTCGAATTCTCCGTTGGAGAAGAAAGAGCTCTCTCAATCAAGCAGCAATGGATGGTACGCGACGTGTTTCCTTCTACTCTTGAGCTATTTTAGTAGTTATCATTAGTTAGTAAATTGATTCATTTGACTTTATGTTCCTGCGTTCTTTAAAAAAACCAAAAATAAAA